CCGAAGTTGAGTATCTGGGTCATGTGGTTTCCGTTGACGGGGTTCGCATGGACCCTAAGAAGACTGCTGCGGTGCGTGACTGGCCTGTCCCGACGTCATTGCTTGAGCTGCGAAAGTTCCTAGGGCTTACCAATTACTTTCGCAAGTTCATAGCCAATTACTCATCTCTCACCGCACCGTTGACGAGCCTTATGCGCAAGGGTGCGTTTTCTTCCGCTGACGTTTGGACTGCTGAATGTCAGGCGTCTTTTGAGGCTATTAAACGTGTTGTTGCGAACGATATAGTGCTGCGTTTTCCCGACTACTCTCAGCCTTTCCGTGTTGAACTTATTTCCGACGCCTCACTGCACGGTACGGGGGCAGTTTTGCTTCAGAACGGTCGTCCTGTCGCGTTTTCCAGCAAGAAGTTTTCTGCTGCCGAACGCGGCTGCACTACGGGTGAACAAGAGCTACTAGCCGTTGTTCACACCTTGCGTGAATGGCGCTGCTATCTTGAGGGACGCCCGTTCATTGTCAAAACTGACCACAAGCCTCTAACCTTTCTGCAAGGTGTTCCGACTCTTAACCGCCGCCAGGCGCGGTGGTTAGAATATATGCAGCGTTTTAACTTCACTTGGGAACATGTGTCCGGTTCCGTTAACGTTGCTGATGCTTTGAGTCGCCACCCTTCCTTGCACTCTGTCGTCCTGTCGGTTGTGACTCGACGTCAGTCTGTGGCTGCCGATTTGACGATTTCTGCATTTGCCAAATGAATCGTGGACGGATACAAAACCGACCCTTGGTTCAACGATCCCAATAATGTCGAGCAATTGACCCGTGTCCAGGGTCTCTGGGTTCGCACTGATGGTGATCGACGTCAAACGGTTGTCCCTAATGATGATTTGCTTCGCCGTGATATCCTTTCCCGTGTGCATCAGGATCCACTTTCCGGTCATGTGGGCTCTACTCGCCTTATTGAGTTGCTACGTCGCAACTTCTGGTGGCCACGGATGGCTCGTGATGCTGCTTCCTTTGTTGAGCAGTGTGACGTTTGCCAACGGCAGAAGCCGAAACCTGGTAAGCAATGGGTCCTGCTTCAGCCCTTGCCGATTCCAGACTCGCCTTGGGAGAGTGTGTCGCTTGACTATGTCGTCGCACTTCCTCTGTCCGAGGGGGGATACGATGCTGTCCTCGTCATTGTTGACCGCTTGACCAAGATGGTACATTTGGTACCGACCACCACGACAGTTACTGCGGAGCAAACCGCTCGACTGTTCTTTGATAACGTGGTGCGTCTGCATGGTGTTCCCAAACAGATTATTTCTGATAGAGGACCTCAGTTTGGTGCCAAGTTCTGGGGGGCCCTTGGCACTTTGGCTAATTTCCGAGTAAGCCTTTCTACTGCCTATCATCCACAAACTGACGGTCAGACTGAGCGAATGAATCGCACTTTGGGTGATATGCTGCGAACCTATGCTGGCAACAACCCTCGTGTTTGGGACACCTATCTTTCGGCTGCAGAATTCGCGATGAACAACGCTGTCAATTGCTCTACGGGACAATCTCCTTTCTTCTTAAATTACGGGTTCCACCCAGCTACTCCCGTCTCACGTGAACTTAATGTTCCGGTCCCGGCAGCCAAATCCTTTATTAAGTCGTACGTTGCTCGTATTGCAGAAGCGAAGCAGTGTCTGGAAAAAGCCACAGACCGTACGACTAATTATTACAACTGCGGCAGAGCCGAAGTCACCTTCAAGGAAGGCGACTTAGTGCTTTTAAGTACGAAAAATCTGCGGCAGTTAGCCGTCGGACCTCGTAAATTATTGCCGCGGTGGGTGCGTCCTTACCCTGTGAAGCGCATGGTTGGCAAAGCAGCGGCCGAGCTTGTCCTACCGTCTGATATGCGCATCCACCCCAATGGCATACTCCAGGCCGGTTCCGGCCCGGTTCCGACCTAACGGGTCCAGTTAACGAGATGGGTAACCGGTCGGTAGGATTACCGGGCGAACCGTTATCCGTTAACCGTCCCCAGTAATCGGTAACCGATGTCGGTAACCTGGCATGAGCAAAAATGCATTTCTGATTGCAACCAGTTTCTTTGTGACAATGCCCATTGTCACAAGGTTCATGCCCACGTGTCACACCCCGACAAGCTTGAGGAGGTTAAGGCAATGTGAATGCCGGGTGACAGGGGTGACAGTCTTGTGCAGGCACATTTGGAGACTAGTTTACACTGAGATTGGGGTGATGTTGGATTAGAATACTTGCAGTTCATGAAATTGAGGAAATGTGTTGCATAGGCATATCCAAACGTTTCAGAGGGACGTTGTTTCGCCCGTAACAAACTTGTTACGGGCGAAACAAACTGGATTTCCACAGTCCCACCACTCAAAGAGCTCCCCACACCATCGCAAAGTCCCTTTTTTATTACAGACACATGTAACAAGTTGTCATAGCTTGAGATTGTCGATATATGACTGCTGGATTGTGACGAGGCCATCTCCTTACATGTCTTGCTGCACCAGCATGAGCAGTGATCCCTTCTGTTCAAAATTTCAGGCAACATCGCAATGAGGCAAAACATTGTGCCGAATCTGCCGTACAAAGAGTGTTCAAAGCTTCACGCTACTAACGGACGAATACATAAGCATTCATTTACCTTAAAAGAATAACGGAATTCTATAGCTTCATACAAATTCGCCTATCAGCAACTCTCCCTGGTCGTTCAAAAGTTGCTTGAAGATTCTACCATCTCCATACTATGAAGGAGCGCTTCTTCATTTCTTCATTTTATCTGAACCTTAACGTATCCTTCCAACACAATGTCCATGGACAACGGTAATGAGGTCGGCGCCTACGAGTTTGACCGGAACGCCCTGGACAACATCGCCCGTCGGCGACAAGATCGCCCACGCAAGAAATACAGCCAGCATCGTCCAGTGGATGAGTTTGGAGTACATAAGTTTGCCAGGGCAAACCATCTAAGTCAATTTACCGCGTGCCAATTGGAGGATGCCTTGTCCAAGGAAAGGTGCCATATGGACGACCTTGTCAACCTATTGCGCCAATCTAGTGACATGGACGCAAAGCAGTTGCTTGGGGACATCGGCCGAAATGCCGGGACAATGACTTATTAGGGACAATGACACGGCATTTCACGCCCTCAAAGCGGGAACAAACGCTAAAACTAAATACATACATAGTTCTAAATCTTCTACTAAAATTTTCCTGCAGCGTTAGAGTCCTTGAATTAATATTGGCGAACGATGCTTCCCGAGCTACCGGGATACTCCCTATGGCATGAACATGCCGGTTACCGACCGTTTGGGGCCCATTAACCCAACCGACCATTAACCCAACTGATCGTTAACCCAACTGGCCGTTAACCCAACCGACCGTTAACCCAACCGGGCCGTTAACGCCATTCAACCGGCCGGTTGGGTTAATGGGCCCCAAACGGTCGGTAACCGGCATGTTTATGCCATAGGGCACCCCACCTTCCACGTAACGTTGTTGCGGCCTTACAAGGCGCCAGCGGATGCGTTGGATTCTTCAACTGTTCGCGACAGTTCTTCTGCACTTTCTAGTCCTGCAGGACCGCCGCCGGTTCAGTGGCTGAAGAGCGATCCACTTTACTCGGTCGAGCACATACTTGATTATCGTGCCCGCCGCCTAGGAAGACGCCGTAAGGGGCTGGTGCACGAGTACCTCGTCAAATGGACCGGGTATTCCAATGAACATAATAGCTGGGAGCCAGAGAAAAACTTTACACCTGACCTTCACCCCGAACTTCAAGCAGTTAAGGCTCGTGCCACTAATGCTGTGAGGACGCTGCGTCCAGAGGGGGGATGTTGTGGCACACTTGCATATTAACCCTCGGACTTTTCCCCAATTCTCTGGCACTTCGCTGCTGGGCAATATCTTCGCTCTTACTTGGTTAAGCATTGGGCACTGGCCTATCTCTAATTGGGCACTGGCCCATCTCTAATCGGGCACTTGCCTGTCTTTATCACGCGTGATACTGGGTTATAGCGCTCTTGCTATAATCGTGAAACTTGTCACTGGTAGACCCACTTGGGTTACGATTGCACCAATGTAACGACGCAAGGCCCAACTGAGCATCCCGGGTTACGCCTTTGCTTTGTTACAATGGTATCGAGACGGGGCCGCACGACTTCCGATGAAATCTTCGGGTCGGTGGTTCGATTCTGACAACAATTGCACCGATTGGTGATAATTCGCGTTGACGACTATATCCTCGGACCGTACAGACTTCTGTACGGGTCGTCCTAACGCAGAGGCATTTAGCCTCCCTCCATTCACTAATCGGTAGTTTTCACTACCACCTAAACAGTGGAAGTGGATACAACATTGCACGTGCGTCTGTGGAGGCACAATGGTGTATCCTGGGATTCTGGCATCCGCCGATCGGTACTTTTTTGAAGTCGAGATACAACACACAAGCAGCTGGCATGCTTCATTTCTGAGACACCGGTACCAAAGCCTGCGATGGGACCGAGAGGAAATGGTGGAGCTGTCCAAATGAACCAAGTGAAAGACTATCTGAGAAACACAAAGCCTAACCTGGCTAGCTGCAGGCTTTGCCACGGGTGAGTGCAGGGTAATGTATTGGTGGTGGTGGTATTGGTATGGGTGGTGGTGCTGCTGCTAGCGCTGGTGCTGGGAAGCTAGGGCTTTCGACCGGGGTGTATGGGCACGTTAAAACCGTGCTCCTTGTTGAGGAGCCGAAATGCAAATCCTCGAACACCCGGCAAAAGGAAAAAGGAACGTCTCTTCTGGGACCTGAGACTGGGCGTGTGTTAATGGGGCTACTGGCCATGGAGAT